AGCGGAGGCCCATAGTTCTCGGTACTCTATTCATCCGAGCGCCGCTAAGATGTATCAGGATTTGTGGTAGCATTATTGGTGGCGGAGAATGAAGAAGGACATTGTTGCACATGTGGCTCAGTGTTTGAACTGTTAGTAGGTTAAGTACGAGCATCAGAGGCCCGATGGTTTGTTCCAGAAGATTGAGATTTCTGAGTGGAAGTGGGAGCATATCACTATGGACTTTGTTGTTGGACTCCTACGGACTCAGAGGAAGTTCGATGCAGTGTGGGTTATTGTTGATAGGTTGACCAAGTTATCACATTTCATTCCTGTGGCTGTCTCCTATTCTTTTGAGAGGTTAGCTGAGATCTATATCTGGGAGATTGTTCGTTTTCATGGTGTTACCGTGTCTATCATTTCGGATCGAGGTATGCAGTTTACCTCACATTTTTGGAGAGCAGTTAAGCGAGAGTTGGGCACACGGGTTGAGTTAGGCACAGTGTTTCATCCTAAGATGGACGGGCAGTCAGAGCGGACTATTTAGATTTTGGAGGATATGCTCCGAGCTTGTGTCATTTACTTTGGAGGCTCGTGGGATCAGTTATTGCCTTTAGCATAGTTTGCCTACAACAACAGCTACCAGTCGAGTATCCAGATGGCTCCTTATGAGGCTTTGTATGGTAGGCGGTGTCGGTCGCCGGTTGGATGGTTTGAGCCGGGAGAGGCTCGATTGTTGGGTACAGATCTAGTACAGGATGCCTTGGACAAGGTCAAGATCATTCAGGATAGGCTTCGTACAGCTCATTCCAGGCAAAAGAGTTATACCAACCACAAGGTTCGTGATTTGGCTTTCATGGTCGGTGAGCGGGTATTGCTTCGAGTGTCGCCTATGAAGGGCGTGATGAGAATTGGGAAGAAGGGCAAGCTTAGCCCTAGGTTCATTGGCCCGTTTGAGATTCTTGATCGAGTGGGAGAGGTGGCTTACAGACTTGCGTTGCCGCCGAGCTTATCAGCCGTGCACCTAGTGTTTCATGTGTCCATGCTTTGGAAGTATCACGACAATCCATCCCACGTGTTAGATTTCAGCACTATCCAATTGGACAAGGACTTGTCTTATGAGGAGGAGCCACTAGCTATTTTAGACCGGCAGGTTCGTTAGTTGAGATCGAAGAGTTTTCCTTCTGTTCGTGTTCAGTGGAGAGGTCAGCCCGCTAAGGCATCGACCTGGGAGTCCGAGTCTGATATGCGGAGCCGTTATCCCCATCTCTTCCCTGACCCAGGTACTTCCTTTTTATGTCTGTTCGAGGACGAACGATTATTTTAGAGGTGAAGAATGTGATGACCCAAAAGGTCATCACTTATTTTAGAAATAAATTATGTGTTTCGAGGCTTTTAAAACCTCTTTCAATATCATCTCGATTTGCGTGTGCAGTCCGGTGCGTAGCCGGAAAGCGATTATGTGAAAATCTGTGAAAAATGATGAATTTTAACTTTAAAATGAATTTAAGTTGACTTCGGTCAACATTTTGGATAAACGAACTCGGACCCGTGATTTAACGGTCGTGAAGGGTCCGTTGGAAAATATGGGACTTGGGCGTATGCCCAGAATCGAATTCCGAGGTCCCAAGCCAGAGAAATAAATTTTTAAAGGAAATTGTTTTATGGAATATTTAGGAATTTTTGGAATTAAAATGTATTTAAAAGTTGATGGTATCTGGCCTGTATTTTGGTTCCGGAGCCCGGTACAGGTCTTATATGTGATTTAGGCCGAGCCTGTGAAATTTGGTAAGAAATGGAAGTTTTTTGATGTGATTTGGACCCGTAGTTGTAAAAATTGATACCTTGAAAGTTTAGAGGTTTTTCTTAGATTTCTATGCTAAATTCATTGTTAAAGATTTATTTTGGCGATTTGATCGCACATATAAGTTCATATGATCTTTTTAAGTTAGTATGCATGTTTGGTTTGGAGCCCCGAGGGCCTAGGTGAGTTTCGGATAGGTTTTAAACTTAGAAAAAAAGTTGCAGGTTTTTCAGTTTCTGGTGTTCTGGTGTGTTGTTCTTTGCGTTTGCGGAAGGACTCTCGCGAATGCGAAGGGTAAGTCAGGCTAAAGGAATTTTCTTTCTACATGAACGCAAAGCTTTGGGAGTGTTTTCCTTCGCAAACGCGGACCTGCTATCGCGAACGCGAAGGCCTTTGGGCCTGGGCAGGGGGAGAGGTATTTTACTCTACGCGAACGCAGCCACTTGACCGCGAACGCGAAGGCTCTGGGGGCTGAAGCTCCGCGAATGCGAGCCTATGATCACGAACGCGATGGCCAACTAGGCCTGACCCATTGCGATCACGACATATCCATCACGCACGCGATGAAGGTCTGCCCAGTGATTTTAAAACAGAAGCAAAAACGACCAAAACCCATTTACTTCACATTTTCGAAATTTGGGAGCATTGAGGCGATTTTCAAAGAACAATTTCTTCCCCAAAACAATGGTAAATGATTCTAAACCTTTTTCTTTCGATTTCTTATTGCATTTCGTCAATTTTTATCCTAAAATCTAGGGTTTTTATGGTCGAAATTAGGAATTTGGGTAGAGTTAGGGCTTTTTGATTTATTGGGATTTAGACCTCGTTTTGGGGTCGGATTTTGAAACTAATTATATATTTGGGCTCGTGGGTTAATGGGTGATCGGGTTTTGGTCCGAACCTCATGTTTTGACCAAGTGGGCCCGGGGTCGATTTTTGACTTTTGGGGAAAATGATAGAAAACCTATAATTGAGCATTGGGTATGAATTCTTTAGAATTTATTGATGTTGTTAAATCAATTTGGACTAGATACGAGTTGTTTGGATGTGAATTCTAAAAGAAAAACGGTGTTTGAGGCTTGAGTTAGTCGTGAAAGTTCGAGGTCAGTGTTTGGTCTAACCTTAGCTTGAGGATTAGGAGTTGTGTCCTATTTGCTACGTGTTATTTGTTGAGTATGATGTATAGGCATGGTAACGAGTATCTATACGTTGGTTTCAAGCATGACAGTGAGTCTTAAATTGAAATTGTTGTGTTCTTACTAAGTACTACGAATGCCTAAGTTGTTGATTCTCTGTGTTGAGCAAGGATTAGGATTATTCTTGTGGAAATTGCTTATGGTTGGGTATTGGTGCTAGTTTAGGTTTCTTTTGTGAAGTTAGATGTTGGAACAAGTTTGGTTATAGCTGATTTTCCCTTGCCGGGCTGTGTTTACTTATACTATCGATTCCCTTGTTGGGATAGTGTTGTTTCTTTATTGTTCGCTTACCGGGACTCTCTTTGTGATTGGTGTTGAACTGTATATGTGGATAGGGTTGCATGCCACAAAAACCTTATATTTGGATCGGGTTGCGCACCACAATAATATTATGTTTGGATTGGGTTGCACGCTGCAACAATAATATAATTGGATCCGGTTGTATGTCGCAAAAGTGATAAATGATATAGATCGGGTTGCACGCCACAACAGTATTTTTATAATTTGGATCGGGTTGCGCGCCGCAACAATAGATAATAAAAGTATTTATTGATTGGTTACGATTTCCTTATTCTTTTGCTGTGAATTTTAAATTGTTCTTTATGCTTTTCCCTTAAATTATTGCTGGTAGATGATATTCCCCGCAACATGTCCCCCTCCTAACTTCAATTGTCTATTTCTATTTTATTTTCCGCTGTATATGATATAACTGCACATGTTCATTTGGTAGTCTGGTCCTAGACTCATCACTACTTCGCCGGGGTTAGGCCAGGCACTTACCAGCACATGAGGTCGGTTGTGCTGATACTACACACTGCACCGTGTGCAGATCCAGGAGCGGCAGCTTTTGGACCGTAGATTTGAGTGGCTGCCTTCAGTCCAGTCGGATATTCTGAGGTAGTCCTGTAGGCGCTTGCAGGCCCCGGCGTTCTCCTCTATCTTTATATTCTGTTTTCATTTACTTCAGAGACAGATTGTATCTTTCTTTCCAGACAATTTTTGTAATATTCGTAGATGGTCCGTGATATTGTGACACCGGTTCCGGGTAGAGATATACTTGGTATTGTCGTATTTTTGGCTAAGTTATCAGATTACATCTTTCGCATGTCGTTATTTATTGTTAATATTTCACTGTTGATCGTATGTTGTTTTAAACTGTTAAAAAAGTCTAAATAAAATAGTTAGTGAATCTATAATACTCGGCTTGCCTAGCTTGCACGAGTAGGTGCCATCACGACCCCCGAAGGTGGGAAATTCGGGTCGTGACATCCTCCCATCCTTTGGCCATATTATAAGCCCCCAAATGCTTTCCCTCGAACGTAGCTGGTAATGAATGTGGAGCTTGTAGCTGTTGGCCTGTGGCTAGCTCAAATGGTGTCTGCCCCGTGGACTCACTCCGCTGCAAGTTATAAGAGAATTGGGCGGTGTCTAGGAGCCTTGCCCAATCTTTTTGATGCACGCTTACATAATGCCTCAGGTAGCATTCTAGTAAGGCATTGACCCGTTCCATTTGTCCATCTGTCTATGGGTGGAAACTAGTGGAAAAGTGCAGCTCCGTGCCAAGTATATTGAACAAATCTCTCCAAAAGTTTCCAGTGAAGCGAGGGTCTCGATCATTGATAATATGCCTTGGTAAGTCCCAATACTTCACCACGTTCTTAAAGAATAGTTTGACGGCTTCCTTGGCTGTGCAACCTAGTGAGGCGGGCATGAAGGTGACATATTTGGAAAATCTATCCACGACCACCATAATAGTACCATAACCATTGGATTCCGGTAGACAAGTGATAAAGTCCATAGTGATGCTCTCCCATGGACGCTCTGCAACTGGCAGTGGCTCCAAAAGTCCTCCAGGCTATTGTTTTTCAACCTTGTCCTATTGACAGACAAGACAAGTTTGCACATAACACTCTATGTCATCCCGCATGCGTGGCCAATAGTAGACTGACTCAACCAAGGCCCTAGTGCCGTTGACTTGGATGACCAGCCCACATTATGTCATGACTCTCTCATATGATCCGTCATCTAATGTCTCCAAACTTAGTCACATAGACTCGCCGACCTGTGGTAAGTAGTAGGCCGTCTTCTATCCAAAACCGTCTCGTCTTGCCTTTGTTGGCTAACTCGATAAGCTGTTTGGCTACTAGATCATGCTGCATGCCTTCTTTTATAGCCTCCCAAATGTCCCATCTTGCTGAAGTGATTGCAGCAAGCTCGACTTTCCGGCTCAAGGCATCGGCTATAACGTTACCTTTGCCCGGATTATACTCCAGCGCATAATCAAACTCGGCCAAGAAATCCTGCAACCTAGCCTGTTTTAGTGTGAGTTTCTTCTGTGTCTGAAAGTAGCTAGTAGCCACATTATTAGTCTTGACCAATAACCTCGACCCGAGCAAATAATGTTACCATGTACGAATGCAATACACAATGGCAGTCATTTCCTTCTCTTGCACCGTGTAACACCGCTCCGTCTCATTTAACTTGCGGCTTCAAACGCTATGGGATGCTTATATTGCATCAGGACAACACCAAAGGCAAAGTCTAAGGCATTTGTGTGCACCTCAAATGTCTTGGCAAATTCAGGTAACGCCAAGACTGGCTCCTCTATTATAGCTGCCTTAAGGCCTTCAAACGCCTTTTGACAATGTTCCATCCAAACCCATGGCTTGTTCTTCTTTAGTAACTCAGTCAATGGTGCGACATTTGCTAAGTAGCCACTGTTGAACCGATGATAGTAGTTAACAAGGCCAAGGAAGGATCTCAACTCTGTTACCTTTGTAGGTGCCTCCCACTCCTGGATAACACGTACTTTAGCCTCGTCCATGCGTAACTCGTCATTACTAATGACATGGCCCAAGAAGTGCACCTTTGATTGTGCGAACTCACATTTCTCCCTCTTAATGTATAGCTCATTCTCCCACAAGACTTGGAAAACCTTCCTTAAGTGTTCCATGTGATCATCCAAGGTATTGCTATATATGACAATGTCGTCTAGGTAGACTACCACGAACTGATCAAGGTAGGGATGGAAAATCTTGTTCATAAGGGTGCAAAATGTGGCCGGTGCATTGGTTTAGCCGAAGGGCATCACCAACCACTCAAAGGCTCCATATCTCGTCATATATGCTATCTTCGGCTCATCCCCTTCCGCAATGTGAACTTGGTAGTAGCCCTTTCGAAGATCCACTTTGGTAAAGTACTTGGCTCGCCCAAGTCAATTGAACAAGTTAGCAATGAGTGGGATCAGGTACTTATTCTTCACGGTGACCTTATTAATTGCTCGGTAGTCTATGCACAAATGCAAAGATCTATCCTTTTTCTTCTGGAACAATACTGGTGCACCAAAAGGTGCTTTTGATGGGTGAATGTGACCAGCAGCTAGCAACTCCTTCAATTGTTTCCTGAGTCCTCTAGCCCGGGAGGTGCCATATGATATGGGGCAAATGCGGGTGGCTTAGCCCCTGGCTCCAACTCAATCTTGTGATCCACCTCTCGCCTAGGCGGTAAGTGCTTAGGCAACTCCTCGGGCATGACATCTTTGTTTTTCTCAAGCAACTTTTCTATGCAAAGCGGCACTATCTCTTGAAAATTCTTGTCTTCCTCTAGACTTGCAATTGTTGCCACGAACGTCGGATCCCCCTTCTTGATCCCCTTGACAACCTGCGTAGCTAAGAGTTGTGCTTCGATATGTCTGTGTGGCATAGTCACTATAGGTACCATGCAAGCTCCTTCTCGCTCCATAACTAAGAGACGTTGGAGGTAGGGGTCGATCAAAGTATGACAATGTCTAAAAAAACTCTTGCACCAGTATGATGTCAAAGATATCCATAGCAGTTACGGTAAAGTTTGTCATACCTTTCCAAGCTCCCAATTTGACACCAACTCCATTAGCTACCTCACGAGCATTTTGTAGCTCGGCATTCACGGTCTCGTCGTGAAAGTTGGTTGTAGCAAGCTTCTATTCTAGTCTCTTTATAGCAGCCTCAGTCACGAAATTATGAATTGCTCCAATATCCACCATTGCACGAGCGGGCTTGTTATTGATAGTGAGATCCACGTATTGATTGCCATTCTCGATAGGTTGGATAGCTTGCTTAGTGATAGCACCACATAATCCGATCATACCCAACTATGCAGTTCTAGAAATCTCTCCTTGCGGTTGCTCCTTTTGTTCACGGACTATGGCACTGAGGCTCTTTAGGTCGGGACTATTCCTGAAGCCGTGCAGTCCTCCGCATATGTAGCATCCCTTCTTCTCGGCCTGTGCCTTCTTCTCGGTGTAGCCCTGACGACCACTCGACTTTTTGGGATCTTGAGTCTTGGAGTATTTTTGTTGTATCTCCTTGCCTTTGCCACGGTCCCCCCCACCTTTGACATTGTTAACCTTTGATTCTTTGCCATTGCATTTGTCATGCTTGTCATGCCTGAAATCCATTTAATGATTTGGCCTCTACTATGGCTTGGTCTATATCAGTGACTTGTCGGCATTGCAACTCCTGCTTAGCCCAATTTTGCAACCCGTCCATGAAGTGGAACAACAAGTCATCATTGGTCAGGTTGGGGATTTGAAGCATAAGGGTAGTGAACTCCTTGACATAGTTACATATGCTCCCTGTTTGCTTCAATTCCCTAAGCTTGTGCTTGCTTCGTAAAAGACATTGTTTGGAAAGAACTATCGCTTGAACTCGGCTTTGAACTGATCCCATGTGCTAATAGTACATAGACCTTTATCCATGTCAGCCATCTTCCTTCTCCACCATAGCATAGCAGTCTCTGAAAGGTACAATACCGCAGTGTTGATCTTGGCCTCATCGTCCCTCACTTTGCCGTGCCTGAAGTAGTTCTCCAACCAAAGGAAGTTTTCCACTTCTTTTGCATCATGAACACCTTTGAACACTGGGGGTTTGGGAGCCTCGATCTTTGCCTCTGATCATTGCCAACTCGACACTACACTAAGGTAGGAAGAGCGGGTCGCAATAGCTTTTACCCGATATAAGGACCGGGATCGATTTCCTCAGGGAGCTAAGAATGGAATTGGATTGTCTGTCTAGCCTAAAGATGTGTTTGTACTCCTAATGTCACTTCAATAAATTTTGGGTTTTTTGAATTATAACTACTTTTATAAAACTATTGATTAACACTAAATTATGCTACGAGAATCTTTCTAAGTTGTATCTAATGGGAAGAAGGGCACTAGGGTCCTGACATTACCTAGATGGATATTTGACGGGTAGATGTTACTAATGTTCGATTGACATAATTGGGGCTTATGCTATAACCATTGCACAATTTTACCCACTCTCACACCTCTCGGTAGAGAAAGTGACTTTGCCCAATTGACTCTCTCGAGACCAAATGGGTAGGCAAATTAGACCAAGCAACTAGGGTTCAAGTAGGGTAATTACTCTCTCGAGGTTTAACCCGTTAATTGGGACTATCATTTCACATGAGTCCATCCCAATTCCTTGGGTCAATTTTTGGGGTCATAGGCTCTCTTTCTCAAGAAGAGTTAAACCCACAAAGCTTGAATAAGTGTTTGCAACCACCAATTCTAGATTAAAACATAAAATCAACCCAAATAGCAAACACCCATAGTCAATCTAACACTAGATGGCAACACCCATCAATTACCCACACTAGGGTTGAGACACAACCCTAGATAATGAGTTTAGCTACTCATGCTAGATAAATAAATTGAAGAAATAGATGAAGAACTAAGCATATTAATTAATTGCTAAAATTAAATTACAAGAATCTATCGTAAATGTAAAGCAAAAGTGCCAAAAATGGCTACAAAATACGTTCTCTCGAGCGCATCTCTCCATTGATATATCTGATTCCCTAAAAATGTAAAATATTCTATTTATAATAGGCTGGAAAAATTGGACAAAAATACACCTGCAGGGTCAGTGTGGGCCGCATTAAATAGACCGCGGCCGCACTGGGCTTACTTCTGCTTCTCTAATCTTGGACTCTGCGGACCGCGTAGAATGGACCGCGGCCGCAGAGGGATCTGGCGCGGTCCGCGCAACCACGACCGCAGACCGCATGGCACTGTCTTTGCAAACTTCATCTCTCTAAATCTCGTGACTGCGGACCGCACAAAAGAGTAGTGCGGCCGCGGAGCCTTCACCGCGGAACGCGAGATGTGTACCGCAGACGCGCTTCTTCTAGCCTGATTCACCAACTCTCTGAACCACCTAGTGCGGCCGCATTCCTCTTTGCGCGGTCCGCACTAGGCCTTCTTTTCTTAAATTTCTTGGTATTTGATATTTGAGCAGGTTTCACTCCTTTTTAGCCGTTCGTTGACATTTCGTCACTTTGTTGATCAAACCTGCGATCAAGCACAACTTGTGAGCCTTTTAGGACTATTTTGTAACAATATATGATCAAAGCATAGGCAAGTAGGGGCATAAAACATGTTAAAATCCTAACTTATCAACTCCCCCAAACTTAAACCTTTTCTTGTCCTCAACCAAACAAAATAAGACCCACCCCTTAAAGGAAAATCCAAGTAATTCTAGCTGTTCTAAAGTAACCTCAACAAGCATCAATTGGGACTAACAATTGCCCTCAACATGAATGGATCATTAACAAAATTTAAACTTTGAAAAACTATGGATCAAGTGTGACACAACAGCATCAAGAATTGACTCATTACATCAAAGAACTCTCTCAATTACTTTGGTCGCCGTGGACCCCAAACTCACACATCCTCAACTCTCCCTAAGCAAACCTCACCTTTTAAGAGTATAAGCACGCAAACCAAGGTTAATGGGAAGTCACTCATCTCTCTCAAGGAAAGGTCACAAGTCCGACTCTAAGTATCATATGCTTGACCCTCATGTAAGTATCCACTAATGCGAGCATCATCCAACTCAAGATTATATAGGGCTTTTATGGAGTCAATGTGAAGGCTTTTGGTTCAGGGTAGGAAAAGTTGTTGGTCTATATGGGTTCCATCTTTCCTTAAGCACTTCTTTTGATTTATTCTGGCACAAATTCTCTTTGACTCTTTGAGTATTTCACTTCTTTTCAAGGGGTTAGAGAGACACATTGTCACTCTTTCGTATGCAATTCAAAGCATTTTTCCTTTTTCTACTTTTTTTCCACACCTTTTTCACTTTTGTTTTTCTTGAATCCCGTTTTATTCTTTGCACATTGGGCTTTCTTTTTGTCTTTTTCTTTTCTTTCTTTTTCATCGCCTTCCTTTCCTTTTGCTTTTGTTCCTTTTACCACTTTGTTTCCTTTGTTGTCTCTCCCCCCCCCAAACTTAGACTTTTGCCATTACTTAAGGGACGATTTAGGTGCCAAGAGAGGGTATAATTTAGAACGGGTATAGGCTTGTAGCATTGGTTCTTGAAAGAAAAAGGTTTAAGGCTCAAAAGTGTTAGCTGAGGATTATATCATTGGTAGGCTATGGAATTGTTCGACAATTGTTTGGATCAAGGAGAGCCTATAATCACTTCTCAAATCGAATTTCACTCAAAATTTCGCCTCAACAAACATTCAGGGCAAGTTCTAGACCATTGGCTAGAGACTTGGACTCACAATTCGATTTCTCACCACACACACTCAAGGATTGCTAAATAAATAGAGTCGGGGTCCCACAACAACCTTAGACACAATTGAGTACACAATAGTCCCTAAAGACCACATGATGTTTGTTTGGTCAAAACAAGAGTCTCAAGGTCACTACTTTTACCATCCTAAACACAACCTCTTGTCTTTGACCATGAGATCAAAGGCAAATGTGTTAGGCCCAAGTGAAGCTTTGCTTGAGGTACCCTTAACTATAAACTACTAAAAACGAGAGAAAAATAAAAAACGGACTCAAACCCTTAAGAAGACTGTCATTCCATCCATCATCGGGAAGAGCCACCCAGTTCACACAATACTCCACCCTTGGAAAGAACCGTAGCATTAAGAAAACCAAGGGTTTATTGAAAGTGC